AAATAAGACACTTGGACTTTTTTGGGTTATCCTGGATAATTTACACTATGTATGATAAGTGCACTTACATGCTGCTGATACTACTACTACTACGACCGCTACTATTACTACCACAAGTATTATGACTACAACTACTACTGGTAGTATTACTACAATGATTATATTGTGCTTTATAGCTCACTCTAAAGCCTATATATACCCCACTGTGTTCTTGTATCATTTATAACAGCCTGACGAAGCTCCTGGATAGTGCCCCCTCAAGGGAGGGGACACTATCCTTATAGTGCCCCCTCAAGGGAGGGGACACTATCCTTATAGTGTCCCCTCAAGGGAGGGGACACTATCCTTATGGTGACCCCTCAAGGGAGGGGACACTATCCTTATAGTGCCCCCTCAAGGAAGGGGACACTATCCTTATAGTGTCCCCTCAAGGGAGGGGACATTATCCTTATAGTGCCCTCTCAAGGGAGGGGACACTATCCTTACAGTGCCCCCTCAAGGGAGGGGACACTATCCTTACAGTGCCCCCTCAAGGGAGGGGACACTATCTTTATAGTACTCATCTAATTGTGGTTGCAGGGGTCGAGACTCAGCTCCTGGCCCCGCCTCTTCACTGATCGCTACTAGGTCCTCTCTCTCTCTCTGCTTCCTGAGCTTTGTCATACCTCGTCTTAAAGCTATGTATGGTTCCTGCTTCCACTACATCACTTGCTAGGCTATTCCACTTCCTGATGACTCTGTGACTGAAGAAATACTTCCTAACATCCCTGTGACTCGTCCGAGTCTTCAGCTTCCAATTGTGAGCTCTTGTTTCTGTGTCCCCTCTGTGGAACATCCTGTCTCTGTCCACCTTGTCTATTCCACACATTATTTTGTATGTTATCATGTCTACCCCCTGACCCTCCTGTCCTCCAGTGTCGTCAGTCCGATTTCCCTCAGCCTTTCTTCGTAGGACATTCCCCTGAGCTCTGGAACTAGCCTTGTTGCAAACCTTTGTATTTTCTCTAATTTCTTGACGTGCTTGACCAGGTGTGGGTTCCAAACAGGTGCTGCATACTCCAGTATGGGCTTGACGTACACAGTGTACAGTGTCTTGAACGATTCCTTACTAAGGTATTGGAACGCTATTCTTAGGTTTGCCAGGCGCCCATATGCTGCAGCAGTTATCTGGTTGATGTGTGCCTCCGGAGACGTGCTCGGTGTTATGGTCACCCCAAGATCTTTCTCCTTGAGTCAGGTTTGCAGCCTTTGTCCACCTAGTCTATACTCTGTCTGCGGTCTTCTCTGCCCTTCCCAATCTTCATGACTTTGCATTTGGCAGGGTTGAAATCGAGACACCAGTTGCTGGACCACCTGTCCAGCCTATCCAGGTCTCTTTGTAGTCCTGCCTGATCCTCATCCGATTTAATCCTTCTCATTAGCTTCACATCATCTGTGAACAGGGACACTTCCACCATGTCATTCACATATATCAAAAATAGCACTGGTCCTAGGACTGACCCCTGTGGGACCCCTCTCGTCACAGGAGCCCATTGTGATACCTCATCACGTACCATGACCCGTTGTTGCCTCCCTGTCAGGTATTCTCTGATCCATTGCAGTGCCCTTCTTGTTATATGTGCGTGATCCTCCAGCTTCTGCACTAATCTCCTGTGAGGAACTGTGTCGAAGGCCTTCTTGCAGTCCACGAAAATGCAATCAACCCACCCCTCTCTCTCGTTTCTTACTTCTGTTACCTTGTCATAAAACTCCAGGAGGTTTGTGACACAGGATTTGCCTTCCATGAATCCATGCTGGATGTTGTTCATAATCTTGTTTCGTTCCAGGTGTTCCACCACTCTCCTCCTAATAATCTTCTCCATGACTTTGCATACTATACACGTCAGAGACACTGGTCTGTAGTTTAGTGCCTCATTTCTGTCTCCTTTCTTAAAAATGGGGACTACATTTGCCGTCTTCCATACCTCAGGTAGTTGCCCATTTTCAAGGAATGTATTGAAGATTGTGGTTAGAGGCACACACAGCATCTCTGCTCCTTCTCTAAGGACCCACAGGATATTGTCTGGACCCCTCGCCTTTGAGGTATCGAGGTCACTTAGCAGCTTCTGCACCTCCTCCTCCGTTGTTTGTATGTCATCCAGCACCTGTTGGTATGTTCCCTCTTGGTGTTCCCCTCTGTGCTGTCTTCTTGGAGCCATTCCTGTCTCTACTGTAAATACTTCCTTAAATCTCATGTTGAGCTCCTCGCATACCTCGTGATCATTACTTGTGAGTTCCCCACCTTCTTTCCTCAGCCTGATCACCTGGTCTTTGAATGTTATCTTCCTCCTGATGTGGCTATACAACAGTTTCGGGTCAGATTTGACTTTCGATGCTGTTATTTTCATACTGTTGCTGGACCTCCCTCCTTACCTGTGCATACTCGTTCCTGGCTCTTCTACTAATCTCCTTATTTTCCTGTGTTCTTTGGCTTCTGTACTTTTTCCATTCTCTATTGCACTTGGCTTTTGCCTCCTTACACCGTCAGGTAAACCAGGGGCTCATTCTGGTCTTCCCATTATTTCTGTTGCCCTTGGGAACAAATCTTACCTCTGCCTCCTTACATTTTGTTGTTACGTATTCCATCATTTCATTTACGGACTTTTCTATCAGTTCTCTGTCCCACTGAACCTCTTGCAGGAAGTTCCTCAAGCCTATGTAGTCCCCCCGTTTATAGTCTGGCTTTTCCCATTCAACTCCTGTTACCCTCTCCACTTGTAACTCTACTATGTATTCAAAGCACAGAACCACGTGGTCACTAGCTCCTAGGGGCCTCTCATATGTGATGTCCTCAATGTCTGAACTGCTCAGGGTGAACACAAGGTCCAGTCTTCCTGGTGTCAGGGGCCCGAGACTGTTCAACTGCCTCCCAGCACACATAATTTATAATATTTTACAATTAAGAATAAAACTAAGTATGCCCGAAATGCCTAACCATGCTAAGCGTTCTAGTGGTACACTCTGTAATCACAATTTTACTACATGTAAACCAAACAATAACCAAATTTCTGTAAACTCAGCATTGTAATCCTTATAGAGAATAAACTTTGAATTTGAATTTGAATTGAACCAACAGACCCCTGGCAGTCTTCAAGCTGGCACTGGACAAGCACCTAAAGTCAGTTCCTGATCAGCCGGGCTGTGGCTCATACGTTGGTTTGCGTGCAGCCAGCAGCAACAGCCTGGTTGATCAGGCTCTGATCCACCAGGAGGCCTGGTCACAGACTGGGCCGCGGGGGCGTTGACCCCCGGAACTCTCTCCATGTAAACTCCAGGTCATCCTCCCCTCTCTCTCTGGTAGTATCCTTAACATGTTGATGCATGAGTTCTCCAGTACCACATCCATCATCTTGGCTCTCCATGTTTCGGGACCCTCGTGTGGTTCCAGGTCATCGAGGACTGTCTAACTTATTTCCATTGGGGTCCTTAATCTTGTCCCCCCAGGATGCGACCCACACCAGTCGACTAACACCCAGGTACCTATTTGCTGCTAGGTGAACAGGACAACAGGTGTAAGGAAACGTGTCGAAATGTTTCCACCCGCCGGGAATCGAACCCGGGCCCTCCGTGTGTGAAGCGGGAGCTTTAGCCACCAGGCCACTTATCTTAATCTGAAATAGAGTCATTATCATTAGCCCATACCCATGCTGTGGGTGGTAGTTAAGGGATTTATAATGTGCATATTATGGGTTTAGGGAATGGGCAACCTTAATAGCCGGCAATGTCCATATGCCCAGGAGAACCGTCCATTAAAAAAAAAAAAAAGTTTCCACTGCAGGAAATGGGTTTAGAGCTCACGACAAAGGGATTAAATCCCTTTCGAGGTGTTCTGATGCTATAATAAAGGGATTGAATCCCTTATAATTTGCTCAGATGCCATGATAATTGGATCGAATCTCTTCTAAGGGATTGAATCTTATAAGGTGTTCAGATGTTCAAAGGAATTAATATCTTTATAAAGGATTTAATCCTTTATAAAGTGTTCAGATGTCAGTACAAAGAGATTAATCCTTTACAAAATATTCAAATACCATTACAAAGGAATTCAATCCACTTATAAAGGGATTCAATACTTTTCAAGATATCCAGATTCCATTATGTTTTGGGGCAAAGGGGGTTTTTTCCTTTCCCCCCCCCCCCGGGGGGGGGTTCCCCCAAAAACCCCCTTTTCCCCGGTCCCCCCCCTTTTTTTTTTTGGGGGGGGGGGCCCCCCCCCGAAAAAATTTTTTCCCTCCCCTTTTTTTTTTGGGTTTTAACCCTTCCAATTTTTTTGGGTTTTAATTTTCCCCCCCGGGGGTTTCCCCAAAAAAAAACCCCAAATTTTTTTTTTAAAAAAGGGAAAATTTAAAAAACCCCCCCGGGGCCCCCCCTGGGGGGGGGCCCCCCCCAAAATTTTTAACCCGGGGGGGGCCCCCCCCAAAGGGGGGGTTTTTTGGGGGGGAAAAAATTTTTTGGGGTTTTTTAAAAAACCCAAAAAAAATTTTAAATTAAAATAAAAAAAAGGGTTTTTTAAAGAAAAAAAATTTTTTAAAAAAAAAAAAGGGGGGTTTTTTTTAAAAAAAAAAAATTTTTTTTAAATTTAAATTTTAAAGGGCCCCCGGGAAAAATTTGAAAAAGGTTTAAAAAAAAAAAATTTTTAAATTTAAAAAAAAAAAAAAAAAAAAAATTTAAAAAAAAAAAAAAAAAAACCCTTTTAATAAATTGTTCAATTCAGGGAACAAAGAGATTAATCCTTTACAAAATATTCAAATACCTTACAAAGGAATTTTTAACCACTTATAAAGGGATTCAATACTTTTCAAGATATCCAGATTTCCATTATTAAGGAATCGAATTCCTTACAAAAGGGGGTTCAATTATTACAAGGTGGAAACAAATACCATTACAAAGGGGAAAATTTCCCCTTTTAAAATGTTCCCAAAATGGGATTTAAAAGTTTTTTAGCATAATTTACATGGGTTTTTAAATGGGTGTTTGTTTACGTCGGCAGCGTCACTGTGGTTGTTCACTTTACTGAGGCAGCAACTGCAATATATTCACCCGTTTTTTTTAAATTGGTTGAGCTCTAGTTGCTGGGCTTGTAAGTTGGTAAATTGGTAGTTAGTGTCTGCTGGTGATGTGGAACTGCTTGTTTGGTCGTTATAGGTTAAATTGGTAGTTAGTGTCTACGGTGTAATATAATAATTAATAATATAATAATAATAGTAATAATTATAGTAATAATTATCATTATTATTTCTACAAAGTATAATGACCATAGCTAACATCAATGATGATAATAATAATAATAATAATTATCATTATTTCTATAAATACAAGGTATAATGACCATAGCTAACATCAATGATGATAATATAATAATAATAATAATAATAATAATAATAATAATAATAATAATAATAATAGTAACAATAATAATGTTTAAATCTACCAGTACATGATACAACTTATACAGACCATAGCTCACACCTATGATATACTATGACATACTACTATATATAGAAAGTTCCTGGTTATGTTGAGCATTTACCACAACTTAGGTTAATTTTGGCCCCAGGATGCCACCCACACCAGTCACTTAACACCCAGGTACCTACTTACTGCTAGGTGAACATGGACAGCAGGTGTTGGTAGACTAATGCCCAGGTACCTACTTACTGCTAGGTGAACAGTGACAGCAAGTGTTAGTAGACTAAAACCCAGGTACCTACTTACTGCTAGGTGAACAGTAACAGCAGGTGTTAGTAGACTAAAACCCAGGTACCTACTTACTGCTAGGTGAACAGTGACAGCAGGTGTTAGTAGACTAACACCCAGGTACCTACTTACTGCTAGGTGAACGGTGACAGCAGGTGTTAGTAGACTAAAACCCAGGTACCTACTTACTGCTAGGTGAACAGTGACAGCAGGTGTTAGTAGACTAAAACCCAGGTACCTACTTACTGCTAGGTGAACAGTAACAGCAGGTGTTAGTAGACTAACACCCAGGTACCTACTTACTGCTAGGTAAACAGTGACAATATGAGTAATAACATGACTGTCAGTTTCAGCATGGGGACCCGGGTGGGAGGTGGTCTTCACTTCTCAGACAAGTCCTTAGTCGGTGTTTCAAGACTCCTGGAAGACCTCCAGCACTTACAGGAAGACAAAGACTCGGCAGATATCATTTTTGTTGTGGGTCGGGAAGAGACTCACATAGCGGCTCACAAACTCATTCTTAAAGCAAGGTATATCAAGATTTTTTTACTGTATACGAGAGGGCCTCACTTTACAGCACCTCGCTTTACGGTGTTCTGCTAATGCAGCGGTTTTCGGTTATATTCATTCTTCATTTATTCAGATTTCCTACAATAAGTATATTCACCAGTCACAATAAGCTAAGGATGAAAATATTTTAAATAATGTGTGTACTGTATATGCATTTTTAGGCCTAATTCTATTGCTCACTTAATATATGATAGTGTAAACATGTTATCAGGCTTTTATAGGCATCTGAAAGTAGAAAAAAGGCTATGATTCACTTTACACCAATTTTTCTTTACAGAAGTAGCCTGGAACCTAACCTGCTGTATAAGTGGGGCCCTCCCAGGAGGGCCCCACTTATACAGCAGGTTAGGTTACGGGCTAATGCTTTACGGGAGGGTCCCGCTCATACATTAGGTTAGGTTCTGGGCTACTGCTGTACAGGAGGGGGAGGTTAGGTTCTGGGATACTGCCATACAGCAGGACCCGCTTATACAGCAGGCTAGTTTCCATGCTACTGCTGTATATACTTAGACACATATGCAGAACCACCACTGTGAAAAAATAATATTCTAAATGCTTTTGTGGTTTTCTCACATCACATTTCCTTGATATTGTGAGAAATTACAAAAGCGGTTAGAATTTCATTATTTTTTTACAGTGGTGGTTTTGTATATTGTGATATCACCTGTTTACTGTGATCTTTTTACATTAGATACATATATGGAAAACTGCCGCTGGAGAGTTTACCCTAGGGCTACAATTTTCAGTAAAATCTTTATTTTTCCAGGTGCAAGAGCTTTGTGGAAGCACCAGGAGGCGAGGTGTGTGTGATTCCCGGCAGCACAGTGACGCCAGGCAAGCCTCACACCACCATTCGTCTACCACAGTACCAACCCAATATATTCAGACAGGTTATCAATTATATTTATACTGGCAAGGTAATGCAATTGTATTTTTTCTGTCTGTTCTGTGCGTTAGGTTAGGCTAACTAAGGCGAGGTTAAGTAAGGTTAGGTTAGGGAAGGTAAGGTCAAGTTTAGGTAAGGTTAGGTTAGGTAAGGTAAGGTAAGGTTAGGTTAGGTAAGGTAAGGTTAGGTAAGGTAAGGTTAGGTAAGGTAAAGTAAGGTAATGTTAGGTAAGGTTATTTTAGGCTAGGTTTGGTAAAGTAAAGTAAGATAAGATTAGGTTATTAGGCAAGACATATATGCAACAGTTAGGTATATTTATTTCGAAACGTTTTGCCTACACAGTAGCCTTCTTCAGTCGAGTACAGAAAAGTTGGTAGAAGCAGAAGTTATGGAGGTTCTGCTGTAATTGCTTTCATGCAATCATTAAGCAAAATATTACAAGTCGAACCATCGTAAGTTGAGGAGCACCTAAAAACAGATAATGTACTTTACATTTAATAAAATATTGTTAGACACAAAAGAAAGCCTCTAGTATTGTGTGTATTTTGAGCTTGATAAACTATTTCTGTGTGATTATTTTGCTTGAGTCGCATTTCCTTTAATCTTAGTGTTAGTTTATTTTAATCGTTGTGTTTTTATTCTGGGTAATATTGTTAGGTAAAAAGACACGTATATGGTGATCAGAGCATTACTTATGTTTTGTTGAAGTGTTTCCTTAATAAATGTTCTGATCGTTGCATACGTGTCTTTTACCAGCAACTTGTTGGTATCACTGTACTACTTCCACCTCCACAGTATTTGTATTGTTATTTTTCAATTACAGTAAAAAAATCGTCAGAACTAGTAACTCATTCTCCTGTGTAAATTACTAAATGTAAAAGGAAATGTATAAACTTTGTATTTTTCTTTTTTGGGTCACACTGGCTCGGTCAAATATTATATTGGTCAGGATGGTGATGGAGTGAGTGATGGTGAATGTGTTTCTTCTTTTTTTTGGGTTACCCTGCCTCGGTGGGAGATGGCCAGATTGTTGATAAAACAAGAAAAATATAGGTCAGACTATTCAAATTTTGCAATCTTTCCCTTTAGGGTGCCTCGTAGCTCAATTGGTAGCACACTTAGCTCGTATGCTGAGGTCTGGGGATCGATCCCCAGTATGGGTAGGAATATCAGGATGTGTTTCCTTAAGACACCTACTGTCCATGTTCACCTAGCAGTAAAATAGATACCTGGATGTTAGTCTACTGGTGCGAGTTGCATCCTGGGGACAGAATTGATCTAATTTGTCTAAAATGCTCTGCATAACAAGCAGCTTTCTATATAGTAGTATGTTATTGATGTTCACTACGGTATGTATACCTTATACATGCACTTGTAGAAATCAAGATTATTATTATTCTACTCCGATATTTCAAGCCTATTATTGCTGTATTAGGTAGTGATGAGCGACAGCGGAGTGTTCGAGGTGTATGGAGTGGGTCATGACCTGGGTCTGGAGGAACTGTGTCAGCACTGTGAGGACCACATAGCCACTACCATGACCCCACATAATGCATGCACTTTCCTCATGGCCGCACTCAAGATGGAACAGCGTACCGGAGGTTGGTACCGATTTGTAATGTTAGGTGATTTTCAGTGATGCTTTTGGCATGTTAATTATTGCTTTGAAACAAAAATAAAGGTTTTTAAAACATTTATTCAAATGGTTGTACTCATAAAAAAAAAAAAATGCGGGGGAGGTCGCGGGGATGGTCTGTGAAGGCCCCTCCCTAGTAGGGGCCAACAGGCCTGCTGCAGTGTTTCTCCTTTCTTATGTTCTTATGATTTCTAATGTTCTAACATTTTAATTATTGCTTTTGCTGCCAAAAAGGTTAAAAATGCTGTTATTCACTTGGTTTATCTAAAACAAAACCATTGTAGGGGGTTTTCCTTACTATTTTTTTATACATGGGAAACCCCAGTGTTGGAAATTAATTGGGTTTTAGGTGGTGTTGAAACTGTGAAAAGTCAATGTGGGAAACAGTATATCCCAGGCTTTAACTACCAGCCACCCACACTGGAGGTGTTAACTGACTCTTCCAAAGTTCGGAAGTTTGGGGCAGTGTCAAGGGGCATTTCAAAGCACTTTCGAAGCAGGGGTTTTCCCGTAATTTTTTTTTTCAAAATGAATTTTCAACAAGTCGGTGCATTTCTCTCCCAAAAAAAGCTCAAAAATCTGTCAATTTTTTTTTGAACAGAACGTTCGGACCCAGTCTTCGAGGTCTGGGGTTCAAACACCCCTGTAATACAGGGGGGCCCTGTTTGTAGGGTATAGGTTCCTGACCCCCATACAATAAGCAAAAAACACCCGAGTGGGGAAAAGCCTTTTTTTATTAAAAAATCCTTAAGATGCCGATAAAGGTTTACACATCATATATTAAAAGCTCAACATGGCTAGGGATAAAAAACTGATAAAAAAGTATAATAAATACACAGTACCCACAATAAATTAAACCCTTTAAAAAAAAAAGGTGCTGCTCACCCTTCCCGATGAACAGTTTTGCAAAACTGGAAAAAAACATTGAAAATCAGAACAATGGGTCGTTAAAAAACTAGAAAACATGGGAAAACTGAAAAAAAAAAAGTACCCAAAAATGCAGGGCTCTCCTTGTTTCCTAGGGATACAGTACCAACAAATTATGAATTTAACATCACATTTGGGTATCCTTACTTGTAGACGTTTTGCCATCCAGTGGCTTTATCAGTATAATTCTAGACTAGGATGCTCATCACCTGCCCCTAGGCTCGGGGACTGATTCCTTCATCTTCCACTGCTTGTTGTATATATTTCTACAATCTTCATCTATGTCCTCGCAGAACAAGCCACATGGGATGGAAATCTTTAGCTGTAGATCTTTCGCACTCGTGTGTCATCAGGAGCTATGCAGTGTTGCAAGACAGCAACAGATAGAAGGGAAAATTCTGTGAGGCAAGGCAGACTGTATCAGTGGCAGTTCATTATTGGAATGTAACCTCATTGTAGAACCTGTATTTATTAATGGTATTTTTCCATGTAGTAAATGGTTTTTAGGACTTGATGTGCTGTTGGAATGTAAGCAAGGCAACATTTATGAAGAAATTCAGGGAAACTGGCAGGCCAGACTGAGTCCTGGAGATGGAAAGTACAGTGCCTGCACTCTGAAGAAGGGGTGTTAATGTTGAAGTTTTACACCTGTAGTGTAATGACCTCTGGCAAGACAGTGATGGAGTGAATGATGATTAAAGTTTTTCTTCTTTGGGCCACCCTGCCTTGGTGGAAAATGGCTGATATCTCAATAAAATAAAAAACAAATTAAAGGAGCTATGATATATTTTTTATTAGTTTTTGCTTGTTGGGAGATTTAAAATGAGTTTTACTTATTGACGGTATTATTCCAGGTAGTAAAGGAAGTCGCTCCTTTGTTGACCGATGTGTGGCACACATCGGTGAAAATGCACTGGAATGCATGCAGACTTCTTCCTTCCTTAACCTCTCCCGCGAGGCACTCATCAGACTCATCTCCTCCGATAATGTAAGTGTTTTGAAAGTACAGGATGGACTCAGTTATATAGCAGGTTATGTCCCAGGCTACTGCTGTACAGGAGGGCCCAGTTATACAGCAAGTTAGGTTCCAGGCTACTGCTGTACAGGAGGGCCCAGTTATACAGCAGGTTAGGTTCCAGGCTACTGCTGTACAGGAGGGCCCAGTTATACAGCAGGTTATGTCCCAGGCTACTGCTGTACAGGAGGGCCCAGTTATACAGCAAGTTAGGTTCCAGGCTACTGCTGTACAGGAGGGCCCAGTTATACAGCAGGTTATGTCCCAGGCTACTGCTGTACAGGAGGACCCAGTTATACAGCAGGTTATGTCCCAGGCTACTGCTGTACAGGAGGGCCCAGTTATACAGTAGGTTATGTCCCAGGCTACTGCTGTACAGGAGGGCCCAGTTATACAGTAGGTTATGTCCCAGGCTACTGCTGTACAGGAGGGCCCAGTTATACAGCAGGTTATGTTCCAGGCTACTGCTGTACAGGAGGGCCCAGTTATACAGCAGGTTATGTCCCAGGCTACTGCTGTACAGGAGGGCCCAGTTATACAGCAGGTTATGTTCCAGGCTACTGCTGTACAGGAGGGCCCAGTTATACAGCAGGTTAGGTTCCAGGCTACTGCTGTACAGGAGGGCCCAGTTATACAGCAGGTTATGTCCCAGGCTACTGCTGTATGTGTTTATGTATTGCTCCACTCACGGTACTGTGCCTTTTTATTCTCGAGAGATGACTGTTTTATTTGATTAGACATAATATTAATTGAAATGTGTGTTTTTTCAGCTGGCACTGGAGGAGGAGGATGTGTGGAGAGGTGTGTTGAACTGGGCCAAGTATGGAGCCGGGGTAGCACAGCCGACCCCACACTGGACAGAGGAAGAGAGACTGAGAGTGTGTCAGAAGTTGCAGGGTGTTATTAATCACGTCCGACTTCTGCTCATTGGTAAGACCATGGAAAAATGGCTTGTGTCGGAGTTATTGGTAAGATCACGGGAAAAATGGCTCGTGTAGGGCTTCTGCTTATTGGTAAGAGCGCAGAAAAAAAATGGCTTGTGTAGGACTTATTGGTAAGATCATGGAAAAAATGTCTTGTGTAGGACTTCTTCATTTTGGTAAGATGAATACAGCTTCTCCTCACTTAGCGATGTATTAGTTTACTGATGCCTTGGATTTACGATGGGCTCTCTGACCAATATGCATACCTAAACGATGTATATTACAGCTGATTTCCTCTATTCTTTTTATTACAATATACAGTACACTAGTACTGTATAAACATTTCAAAATGTACTGAAAACTTTATAAATGGTGCAGAGGTGACAATAAAACGTTATCAAAGATGGTTGACACAAACCCACTACATTATAGTATGTTCCTCACTGAGCACAAATTCGTTTATCGATGTGGTCTCAGGAATGGAACTTCATCATTAAGTGAGGAGAGGCTGTATTATATACAATTCAGGAGGTCCCCAGCATGTTTGTAAGTCGAGGACTTGCCATTCGTTAATGTTGTTCTCACATTATTGTTATTACAATTGAAACTAAGTGCTAAACCCACAAGTGCCATACAGCACTAGCTTTTATTAAGATTTTTGAGTTATTAGATTTTATTGGCTTGCTGAATCGCATTGCAAGTAGTTCACACAAAATGCAGTTGCATTGTTATTCCTGAGTCTGTACTTTATTGCTCTGTTTGCCTTAATTTTATTGACTTTTCCATGTTATAAAATAATTTTTTATTAGTTATTACTGTACTTAAATTTACTTGATTTACACATCAGACAGTAAAGCATTTGTTAACCTTATTTACACTTCAGTGTTTGTTGATCTTATTTACACTTCAGTCCAGTGTTTGTTAACTTGATTTAAACTTCAGACAGCCAGGTGTTTGCTGAGGAAGTGGAACCAACAGGTGCGGTACCCATGGAGTTGTCCTTGGAGCGGTACAGATATGCTGCACTTCCCAATAAGTTTAAAGATAACTCCACCAATGAAGACAAGCGTCTACAGCCTCGCGTCTCTCTCAAACTGTTTGCTGGGTCACAGATACTAATTAATGCAAGTATTTTTGGGGTATGGAGTGAGTTATGATGGAAGTGTTTCTTCTTTTTTGGGTCACCCTGCCCTGGTGGGAAATGGCCAATGTGTTAAAAAAAAATTGGGGTGGGGATATAAGCAGTTTTGAACTGTATTATTGGTGCCCCTCTGGAAATACAGTGATGGAGTGAGTGTTGGTGGAAGTGTTTCTTCTTTTTTGGGTTGGTAGACAGCAACCACCCAGGGAAGTACTACCGTCCTGCCAGATGACTGTGAAACAAAAACCTGTAACTGTTTTGCATGATGGTAGGATTGCTGGTTTCTTTTTCTGTCTCATAAACACGCTAAGATAACAGGGATATCTTGCTACTCCTACTTACACTTTGGTCACACTTCACAGACACGCACATGCATATATATATATACATACATCTAGGTTTTTCTCTTTTTTCTAAATAGCTCTTGTTCTTTTTTATTTCTTCTATTGTCCATGGGGAAGTGGAAAAGAATCTTTCCTCCGTAAGCCATGCGTGTCGTATGAGGCGACTAAAATGCCGGGAGCAATGGCTAGTAACCCCTTCTCCTGTATACAATTACTAAAAAAGAGAAGAAGAAAAACTTTATAAAACTGGGTTGCTTAAATGTGCGTGGATGTAGTGCGGATGACAAGAAACAGATGATTGCTGATGTTATGAATGAAAAGAAGTTGGATGTCCTGGCCCTAAGCGAAACAAAGCTGAAGGGGGTAGGAGAGTTTCAGTGGGGGGAAATAAATGGGATTAAATCTGGAGTATCTGAGAGAGTTAGAGCAAAGGAAGGGGTAGCAGTAATGTTAAATGATCAGTTATGGAAGGAGAAAAGAGAATATGAATGTGTAAATTCAAGAATTATGTGGATTAAAGTAAAGGTTGGATGCGAGAAGTGGGTCATAATAAGCGTGTATGCACCTGGAGAAGAGAGGAATGCAGAGGAGAGAGAGAGATTTTGGGAGATGTTAAGTGAATGTATAGGAGCCTTTGAACCAAGTGAGAGAGTAATTGTGGTAGGGGACTTGAATGCTAAAGTAGGAGAAACTTTTAGAGAGGGTGTGGTAGGTAAGTTTGGGGTGCCAGGTGTAAATGATAATGGGAGCCCTTTGATTGAACTTTGTATAGAAAGGGGTTTAGTTATAGGTAATACATATTTTAAGAAAAAGAGGATAAATAAGTATACACGATATGATGTAGGGCGAAATGACAGTAGTTTGTTGGATTATGTATTGGTAGATAAAAGACTGTTGAGTAGACTTCAGGATGTACATGTTTATAGAGGGGCCACAGATATATCAGATCACTTTCTAGTTGTAGCTATACTGAGAGTAAAAGGTAGATGGGATACAAGGAGAATAGAAGCATCAGGGAAGAGAGAGGTGAAGGTTTATAAACTAAAAGAGGAGGCAGTTAGGGTAAGATATAAACAGCTATTGGAGGATAGATGGGCTAATGAGAGCATAGGCAATGGGGTCGAAGAGGTATGGGGTAGGTTTAAAAATGTAGTGTTAGAGTGTTCAGCAGAAGTTTGTGGTTACAGGAAAGTGGGTGCAGGAGGGAAGAGGAGCGATTGGTGGAATGATGATGTAAAGAGAGTAGTAAGGGAGAAAAAGTTAGCATATGAGAAGTTTTTACAAAGTAGAAGTGATGCAAGGAGGGAAGAGTATATGGAGAAAAAGAGAGAAGTTAAGAGAGTGGTGAAGCAATGTAAAAAGAGAGCAAATGAGAGAGTGGGTGAGATGTTATCAACAAATTTTGTTGAAAATAAGAAAAAGTTTTGGAGTGAGATTAACAAGTTAAGAAAGCCTAGAGAACAAATGGATTTGTCAGTTAAAAATAGGAGAGGAGAGTTATTAAATGGAGAGTTAGAGGTATGGGAAGATGGAAGGAATATTTTGAGGAATTGTTAAATGTTGATGAAGATAGGGAAGCTGTGATTTCGTGTATAGGGCAAGGAGGAATAACATCTTGTAGGAGTGAGGAAGAGCCAGTTGTGAGTGTGGGGGAAGTTCGTGAGGCAGTAGGTAAAATGAAAGGGGGTTTAAAGGCAGCCGGGATTGATGGGATAAAGATAGAAATGTTAAAAGCAGGTGGGGATATAGTTTTGGAGTGGTTGGTGCAATTATTTAATAAATGTATGGAAGAGGGTAAGGTACCTAGGGATTGGCAGAGAGCATGCATAGTTCCTTTGTATAAAGGCAAAGGGGATAAAAGAGAGTGCAAAAATTATAGGGGGATAAGTCTGTTGAGTGTACCTGGTAAAGTGTATGGTAGAGTTATAATTGAAAGAATTAAGAGTAAGACGGAGAATAGGATAGCAGATGAACAAGGAGGCTTTAGGAAAGGTAGGGGGTGTGTGGACCAGGTGTTTACAGTGAAACATATAAGTGAACAGTATTTAGATAAGGCTAAAGAGGTCTTTGTGGCATTTATGGATTTGGAAAAGGCGTATGACAGGGTGGATAGGGGGGCAATGTGGCAGATGTTGCAAGTGTATGGTGTAGGAGGTAGGTTACTGAAAGCAGTGAAGAGTTTTTACGAGGATAGTGAGGCTCAAGTTAGAGTATGTAGGAAAGAGGGAAATTTTTTCCCAGTAAAAGTAGGCCTTAGACAAGGATGTGTGATGTCACCGTGGTTGTTTAATATATTTATAGATGGGGTTGTAAGAGAAGTAAATGCGAGGGTTTTGGCAAGAGGCGTGGAGTTAAAAGATAAAGAATCACACACAAAGTGGGAGTTGTCACAGCTGCTCTTTGCTGATGACACTGTGCTCTTGGGAGATTCTGAAGAGAAGTTGCAGAGATTGGTGGATGAATTTGGTAGGGTGTGCAAAAGAAGAAAATTAAAGGTGAATACAGGAAAGAGTAAGGTTATGAGGATAACAAAAAGATTAGGTGGATGAAAGATTGAATATCAGATTGGAGGGAGAGAGTATGGAGGAGGTGAACGATTCAGATATTTGGGAGTGGACGTGTCAGCGGATGGGTCTATGAAAGATGAGGTGAATCATAGAATTGATGAGGGAAAAAGAGTGAGTGGTGCACTTAGGAGTCTGTGGAAACAAAGAACTTTGTCCTTGGAGCAAAGAGGGGAATGTATAGAGTATAGTTTTACCAACGCTCTTATATGGGGGGTGAAGCGTGGGGGGATGAATGTTGCAGCGAGGAAAAGGCCCTGGAGGCAGTGGAGATGTCATGTCTGAGGCAATGTGTGGTGTGAATATAATGCAGAGAATTCGTATTTGGAAGTTAGGAGGAGGTGCGGGATTACCAAAACTGTTGTCCAGAGGGCTGAGGAAGGGTTGTTGAGGTTGTTCGGACATGTAGAGAGAATGGAGCGAAACAGAATGACTTAAAAGAGTGTATCATCTGTAGGGAAGGAAGGCGGGGTAGGGTCGGCCTAGGAGGGTTGGAGGGGGGGGTAAAGGAGGTTTTGTGTGCGAGGGGCTTGGACTCCAGCAGGCATGCGTGAGCGTGTTTGATAGGAGTGAAGGGAAAACAAATGGTTTTTAATACTTGACGTGCTGTTGGAGTGTGAGCAAAGTAACATTTATGAAGGGATTCAGGGAAACCGGCAGGCCGGACTTGAGTCCTGGAGATGGGAAGTACAGTGCCTGCACTCTGAAGGAGGGGTGTTAATGTTGCAGTTTAAAAACTGTAGTGTAAAGCACCCTTCTGGCAAGACAGTGATGGAGTGAATGATGGTGAAAGTTTTTCTTTTTCGGGCCACCCTGCCTTGGTGGGAATCGGCCGGTGTGATAATAAATAAAAAAAAAATTCTCTGTGGGAAATGGCTGTTGTGTTAAAAAAAAAAAAATTTGCTGTGTAGAGACAGTGTAATGTTTGTGTACTTTGGCAAGACAGCTACTGGATGAATGATGGTAGATGTGTTTCCTTCTTCTGGTCACCCTACCTTGGTGGGAAGTAATTAATCTGGTTAAAGCAGTTTTGTTGAATGCTGTATGACCCTTCTGGGTTTACTACCTAGTTTTGATTATAATGATAATAATCTTGTTGAATAATGTAATTTAGATTATTCGAACACTAAATGCTGTAAAGTCCTGCTTAATCTGCTGTTAAATATAATAAAAGTCCTTAATCTACTGTTAAATAAAAGTCCTGCTTAATCTGTTGTTAGTACATTAATCATACGGTATTGTTACCATTAAATATTTTCACGTCCTGTCTCTAGAGAGCACTCCAACAGCACGTCAAGCCATCAAAACCACACTTCTCTGCTCGCTCCATTCTATTGTGATCATATAAGTCTGCTGGGTGATCAAGACTCGCGCAAACCTCTGTACCCAGTCCCTCCAAGTCTTGCTTGGACTATATCCTCCCTCCTTCCTTCCATCCCAGATTTATATATCCTCTTACCTGGAGTATACAGTGGACCCCCGGTTAACGATATTTTTTCACTCCAGAAGTATGTTCAGGTGCCAGTACTGACTGAATTTGTTCCCATAAGAAATATTGTGAAGTAGATTAGTTCATTTCAGACCCCCAAACATACACGTACAAACGCACTTACATAAATACACTTACATAATTGGTCGCATTCGGAGGTAATCGTTATGCGGGGGTCCACTGTACCTGGAGAGGGTTTCAGGGGTCAGTGCCCCTGCAGCTCGGTCTGAGACCAGGCCTTGTATTGGATCAGGGCCTGATCAACCAGGCTGTTACTGCTTGCCTCATGCAAACTGACGCACAAATCACAGCCCAGCTGGTCAGGTGCCTGTACAGTGCCTTCTTGAAGACAGCCAGAGGTCTATTGGGAATCCCCCTTGTGTATGCTGGCAGGCAGTTGAACAGTCTTGGGCCACTGACACTTACTGTGTTCTCTCTCAGTGTACTCGTGGTGCCCCTGCTTTTCATTGGGGAAATGTTGCATCTCCTTCTGAGTCTTTTGCTTTCATAGGGAGTGATTTTCATTTGCAAGTTTGGTACTAATCCCTCTAGGATTTTCCAAGTGTATATTATCATGTATCTTTCTTGCCTGCATTCCAGGGAGTTCAACCATTCCCAGTAATTCATCCAGTTCTGATTTTTTTTTTTTTTCAACAAACCGGCCGTATCCCACCAAGGCAGGGTGGCCCAAAAAGAAAAACGAAAGTTTCTCCTTTCAAATTTAGTAATTTATACAGGAGAAGGGGTTACTAGCCCCTTGCTCCCAGCATTTTAGTCGCCTCTTACAACACGCATGGCTTACGGAGGAAGAATTCTGTTCCACTTCCCCATGGAGATAAGAGGAAATAAACAAGAACTAGAAAGAAAATAGAAGAAAACCCAGAGGGGTGTGTATATATATGCTTGTACATGAATGTGTAGTGTGACCTAAGTGTAAGTAGAAGAAGCAAAAAGTGCCTGAAATCTTGCATGTTTAAGAGACAGAAAAAAGACACCAGCAATCCTACCATCATGTAAAACAATTACAGGATTCCAATTCTGATCTATCCTCTCTAAATGCTCAGACTTCCACAACAGCCCCTCTGTCCTCTGAATTATAGTTTTGTTACACTACACTATCTTCTAATCTCCATGCTGCAAATTCTTTGCACTATATCTGCATTAAATATTCTTAAATTCTTTGCACTATTCATACTGAATTTTATTCTTAAATTCTTTGCACTATATTTGTACTAAACATTTTTCTCAAACAACACTTCCAGTGCTACCAGCTTCCTCATTACTGAAATGTTGAAATACCATGCTTCACACCCATATGAAAGTGTTGGTATCACTATGGTACACTGCTCATATTTGCCTCCATAGATAAACTTATTTCTTTCTACAGATGCCTTAACATACTACAAACATTTATCCCCCATTTATTCTGTAGTTTACCTTGTCTTCTGTCGACTAGTCTGCAGCGCAACCAGCCGTCTCCCTTGGAGGCAGGATGACCTGAAACAGAAGAAATATTTTGACCTTTACTCACTCTATCACTGTCTTTCCAGAGGTGTGCTGATACTACAGTTCAAAACTGCAGCATATATCCACCCATCCTTCAGAGCACAGGACTCAAGTCTGGCTAACTGGTTTCCCATAATCCCTTCATAAATGTTACTCCAAAAGCACATCGTCATAAAAAACAATTTGCTTCCACTCCTATCTAAAATGCTCATGCATACTTGCAGGAAATCCAAGCCCCTTGCACACTAAACCTCCTTTACCCCCTCCCCCCAACCTTTTCTAGGATGACCCCTGTTTCACCTTCCCTCCACTACAGATTTATACACCCTCCAAGTCATCCTATTTTGTTCCTTCCTCTCTCAATGTCCTCCATGTCCAGTCTGTCAGTGCCTAGACTTTTTACTCAGTATCACCACTTTGCTTTTTCAATGCTCACTTTAAATTTACTTTTTATGCACTTTATCGTATGATTTTCTTTTATCATGAAGTGTTACACTTCCACTTTCATCAGTATTTTGTCAATACAATTCTTGTAGATGAATGGTTCAGAGAACCGACATGTTGATAAATTAGACACATGTGCAACTCTTGGGTATCTTTATTGAGGAAATGTTTCGCCACACAGTGGCTTCATCAGTCCATACGTAGGAGAAACTTGAAGAACAGGAGGAGAATGAGGTAATCAGTCCCTCAACCTTGAGTCGATGTGTTCAGTCCATCAATCTTGAATAGAATACGGCATATCAGCGGAGAAGCAGCTTATAAACCGTATGGCAGGAGAGGTGCAGCAGTCATAGGTCGTGTCACATTTGTTCAATGTGGAAGTAGGTCGTGCCCAAGAATTAGGCAAGCGAAGAATTCCTAAGTATTAAGATCCCAAGAAGTTGCAGTGTCTGACAGATTTGTAGATACCCAAGAGTTGCACATGTGTCTAATTTATCAATACAATTCTTACAACCACACACAATAATTTTATTCTTAGTAATTGTTCATTTCTGGAATAAATTTTGTGTTTTTTCAGGACAAAATGTCGTTACAGCGGGTGCTGAACAATTGGTACGGAGTCAACAAACAGATGTGGCGCCTTGTTTATCGTGCTTCCACTCATGGTTATTCTGCTGATGCATTCCACCGCCATTGTGATGGTGTAGCTCCTACCTACACCATTGTTATGGTCAGTAATTGTTTTTTTAAGTACTTCAGCCATTTTGCACTGAAGTAGGGTGACCTGGAAGTGAAGAAACACTGTCACCATCACTTGCTTCTTTGCTATCTTGCCAGAAGTGTGCTGACACTACAGTTCAAAGCTGCAGATATCCCCACTTTTCCTTCAGAGTGCAGACACTGTACTTCCCACCTCCAGGACTGTAACATCCCCACCCATCCTTCAGAGTGCAGCCACTGTACTTCCCACCTCCAGGACTGTAACATCCCCACCCATCCTTCAGAGTGCAGCCACTGTACTTCCCACCTCCAGGACTGTAACATCCCCACCCATCCTTCAGAGTGCAGGCACTGTACTTCCCACCTCCAGGACTGTAATGTCCCCACCCATCCTTCAGAGTGCAGCCACTGTACTTCCCACCTCCAGGACTGTAACATCCCCACCCATCCTTCAGAGTGCAGGCACTGTACTTCCCACCTCCAGGACTGTAATGTCCCCACACATCCTTCAGGGTGCAGCCACTGTACTTCCCACCTCCAGGACTGTAACACCCCTACACATCCTTCAGAGTGCAGCCACTGTACTTCCCACCTCCAGGACTGTAACATCCCTACACATCCTTCAGGGTGCAGCCACTGTACTTCCCACCTCCAGGACTGTAACATCCTCACAATACATATTACACATATGTATTTCTCCCATTTTATATAAGACTTGTGTGTCATGATATACATATGTGTATAAACACGTATGTATATCATGATACACAAGTCTTATATAAAATGGGTCTGGTTTAGCCAGAGATTTAGTTAGTCATGTTTACTCTTGTAGATATAGATACAAACTTTTAGACAATTGTTTGTACTTGTAGACATAATCAGATAATTGTTTGTACTTGTAGACACAAACATTCATACAATTGTTTGTACTTGTAGATGTAGGCACTGACCGCTAGCCTACAACCACTATAACACTGAACACGCACTCTCATAACGCTTTGCCTCACCAGGGTCAGCACGGGGAAATCTGTGGAGGGTTCAGCGATGTGCCCTGGGGCAAGACTACCATGAAGGGCAGATACGTGGCATCGGATAAAGCCTTCCTCTACACCCTGGTCAATAATCAAGACATTCCACCGGCCAAGTTTCCCGTTGTCAAAAAGATGTTTGCGATTTGTTACCATCCCGAGTGAGTCTTGAGGTGTTGATGCTGTGCTTCATCTGTCGGGGAGATTGATGATGACGTTGTGGTTCATCTGACAAGAAGACTGTTGATGCTGTGGTTCATCTGATGGGGAGATTGATGATGATGCTGTGGTTTATTGATGAGGAGACTGTTGATGCTGTGGTTCATCTGATGGGAAGACTGTGTTGTAATCTTACAGGATGATTGTATTGTAATCTTACAGGACGACTAACATTTGGGTCATGAGAATTTTTAAATTGTGTTGCACTGGTATTGTGTCATAATTTTACAGTAAGAGTATTGTTATATTTTTATCATCTCTCTATGGCCCATACTGGTTTAGAGCATAATTTCATAAACCTACTACTAGTTCTTTCAACAAACTGGCTGTATCCCGCTGAAGCAGGGTGGCCGAAAAAAAAAAAATCATCAACTTCAGTAATGTGTACAGGAGAAGGGGTTACTAGCCCCTTGCTCCAGGCATTTTAGTTGCCTCTTATGACACACATGGGTTATGGAGGAAGAATTCTGTTCCACTTCCCCATGGAGATAGGAAATAAACAAGAACAAGAACTAGTAAGAAAACAGAAGAAAACCCAGAAGGGTGTGTGTATATAAATGCTTGTACATGCATGTGTAGTGTGACCTAAGTGTAAGTAGAAGTAACAAGACATACTTGAAATCTTGCATGTTTCTTCTTTCTTTCAACACACCGGTCGTATCCCACCGAGGCAGGGTGGCCCAAAAGGAAAAACAAAAGTTTCTCCTTTTACATTTAGTAATATATACAGGAGAAGGGGTTACTAGCCCCTTGCTCCCGGCATTTTAGTCGCTTCTTACAACATGCATGGCTTACGGAGGAAGAATTCTGTTCCACTTCCCCATGGAGGTAAGAGGAAAAGAGGAAATAAACAAGAACAAGAACTAGAAAGAAAATAGAAAAAAACCCAGAGGGGTGTGTGTATATATATGCTTGTACATGTATGTGTAGTGTGACCTAAGTGTAAGTAGAAGTAGCAAGATGTACCTGAAATCTTGCATGTTTATAAGACAGAAAAAAAGACACCAGGAATCCTACCATCATGTAAAACAATTACAGGCCTTTGTTTTACACTCGCTTGGCAGGACGGTAGTACCTCCCTGGGTGGTTGCTGTCTACCAACCTACTACCACAGGACGGTAGTACCTCCCTGGGTGGCTGCTGTCTACCAACCTACTACCACAGGACGGTAGTACCTCCCTGGGTGGTTGCTGTCTACCAGCCTACTACCTAGGAATTTCATTAATACACTATTTTGCTGTAATAGTACAAGAAATTTTTTTATATATTTATATAACAGTCTAAACAGTACTAGTCATTCACCATATAAACTTAGGCTGACTAGCCAGTAGTGATCTTCCTAGTCAGCCTTTAGGCTTTGGCTGACTAGCCAATAGTGATCTTGCTAGTCAGCCTATAGGCTTTGGCTGACTAGCCAGTAGTGATCTTGCTAGTCAGCCTATAGGCTTTGACTGACTAGCCAGTATGGTCTAGGGCATTAAGTACGGGCTTTTAAATGAATGATTTTTCTTCATGTTATATAATAATTAACTTTTTACAAAATAACTGTCATTTTGCAGTATAATCAAAATTTCTTGACCTTATTAGAGTACAGCTAAGTCTAATGTGGCCTAAAATAAAAAGGTTCCCCACCCCTGACGTAGGCTTTTCCGGTACACTTGTCCTCCTGTATCCGTGGGTGATATGTTGCAAGACCTACCATGGATGCCCAAAACCACAGATAATAGCAAACCCTACATGCAGTGGTCCTGTATCTGCAGGGGATACCTTGCTAGACCTACCATGGATAGTAGTGAATGGTATATAGAGTAGTCCCCCTGTATCTGCAGGGGATACCTTGCTAGACCTACCATGGATGCCCAAATCCACTGATAGTAGTAGTGAGTCCTATATACAAGTCATTTTTCATTCACATACCCATGATAAAGTTTAATTGATAAATTACACATAGACACTAATTACATAATTTTCGCAGGTTGAAGTGCCGCAGCATGATTGGAAGAGTCGTTCATGTTGTACATCTTAGCAACATCAGTGTACAAATTTTTTCTTGTATCAAGTCTAGAAATGCCATTTTTTCATTGATGTTCAGCACTACACACCTTCTCTTAGGTTCTCAATTTGACATTTAATATTCTGGTATTTAATTTTATTTAATATAATATTTTAATTTAATATTTCTATTTAATATTAATATTTTATATTATTAATATTAATATTTTATATTTAATATTAATATTTTATATTTAATATTAATATTTTATAATTGATATTAATATTTTACATTTAAAATTTAATATTTTTGGAAATCATATCTGGGGATAATCGTATCCAAGGAGAACCATATCCGTGGATAACCACATCCACGGATAACCACATCTGCGGATATGGTTGTTCTGCTGTCTGCTGCAAACTGACACACCTCACGTTTTCCAGCTGCGGTCCAATATTTGGCGCCGGTGCCGACCTGTTCATCGCTGGCAACTGTAACCAAAACCTGGAGAGCTACTCTAACCTTCCTCATTCATATGATGGTGAAAATGCTTCTTGTAACACTTTAATGAGCGATTATAATTTTACTGTGCTGGATTATGAGGTTTTTACCCCTTATGGCAAGTGAGGTAGAGGATCTAATTCCACTTATGATGTTTTTGTTGATGTTTATTCCTTATGGAAAGTGAGAATGAGGATCCAATCCCATTTGTGATGATTATTCCTTACAGCAAGTGAGGTAGAGGATCCAATCCTATTTGTGATGTTTTTCTTAGTATTCATCCCATATGGTAAATGAGGTAGAGGATCCAATTCTATTTGTAATGTTTTTCTAGATTCACACCTTATGGAAAGTGAAAAAGAGTATCTAATACCATTGTGATGGTTTTCTTGGTATTCAATGCTTGTGACATGTGAAAAAGAGGATCCAATTCCATTTGTGATATTTTACTTGGTATTCAGTGCTTGTGATAAGTGAAACAGAGGATCCAGTTCCATTTGTGATGTTTTTTTGTGTGCATTCCATCGTTTTATTATGGTGGCATAAGGACATACAGTCAGCGATGTTGTGAACCTGTAATCAGTGGGAGTTCTTGGGAATGTGATTGAAAAATACAGATAGAAATTGAATATGACACAAAAAGGCTTTCATAGTATGTATGTGCCATTTAATATTGAATATACAGTGGTCCCTCGTTTTTCGTAATTAATCCGTTCCTGGAAGTGTGACTATTATCGAAATTTACGATTTTCGAATCAATTTTCCCCATGAGAAATAATGTAAATACAATTAATCCGTTCCTGACACCCAGAAGTATTAAACAAAAAAATTTTTTACATGAAATATAGATGTAGTACATAAACAATACAATGGCACATGATGAATGATACAGTAACAGCATAACACTTACCTTTATTGGCAATTCTTCTTAGTGTATGGAAGACTGGAGGAGGAGAGACATTGGATTATTTACTGTTTGGAAGGGGAATCCCCTTCCATCAACACCTCAGGTACCAAGTGCTTTTCTGGGGTTACTTCTCTGTTTCTTAATGCCACTAGGACCAGCTTGAGTCACTGGAGTCCTGTCTTGCAAAAAAAACTGTCCAGAGAGCTCTGTTTCTGGCATCTCTTTAACACTTCCCTAAAATGGGCCAAGACTTTGTCACTGTACATGTTGCCAACCTGGCTTGCAACAGCCTTGTCAGGGTGATGTTTCTCCAGAAATCTTTCCATCTTACCCCACATTTCAAAAATCTCCTTAATTTCTGAAGAAGGCACCTTCTTTCATCTCTCTTCCTCCTCCCCTGCAGCAAGATTCTGAGCTGCAATCTGTTCCTGTTCCTGCTGAAGCTCTTGCAGCTCCTCAGTGGTGAGCTCTTCATTGTGGTCTTCCACATCCTCCAAACTTGCATCCAACCCCATGGAACTCCCCAATGCCACAATAGATTTCACAACTGACATAGGCTCATCAGGGTCAGCCACAAACCCTTCAAAATCCCTCTTGTGGACACAATCTGGCCACAATTTTCTCCAAGCAGAGTTCCAAGTCCTGGTAGTCACTTCCTCCCAAGCCATACCTATAAGGCTTATGCAATGGAGGATACTGAAGTGTTCTTTCCAAAACTCTCTTAGGGTCAAGTGAGTGTCTGAGGCCACATTAAAGCACCTTTGAAACATTGTTTTGGTGTATAGTTTTTTAAAGTTTGAAATGACCTGCTGGTCCATGGGCTGGAGGAGAGGAGTGGTATTCGGGGACAAGAACTTTACTGTGATAACCCAAACTCCTGCAGAATCAGGTCATCCAAGTTTGGAGGATGAGCAGGTGCATTGTCCATTACTAGGAGGCACTTGAGATCCAATTTCTTTTCCAGAAGGTAATTCTTCACACTAAGGCCAAACACTTCATTGAACCACTCGACGAAAATTTCCCTTGTGACCCATGCCTTACTATTAGATTTCCAAAACACACACAATTTACTCTTCATAACATTGTTTTTCCTGAACACTCTGGGATTTTCAGAATGGTGCACTAGTAACGGCTTCACTCAGAAATCCCCACTAGCATTAGCACAGAACATGAGCATCAGCCTGTCTTTCATAGGCTCGTGTCCTGGTAGTCCCTTTTCCTCCTGAGTAATGTAGGTCCTCTTTGGCATTTTCTTCCAAAAGAGGCCTGTTTCGTCACAATTGAACACTTGCTCAGGTTTCAGTCCTTCAGCCTCTATGTACTCCTTGAATTCACTTACGAATTTTGTAGCTGCAATTTTGTCTGAACTGGCAGCCTCACCATGCCTTATCCCACTGTGTATGCCACTACGTTTCTCAAATCTCTCAAACCAACCTTTGCTGGCCTTAAATTCACAAATATCAGTACTTGTTGCAGGCAATTTCCTTACCAGATCGTCGTGCAACTGCCTAGCCTTTTCACAAATAATCAACGTCATAAGACTATCTCCTGCTAATTGTTTCTCGTTTATCCACACCAATAATAACTTCTCAACATCTCCGAGTACTGGTGATCTCATTTTTGTCAGCATATTTACCCCCTTTGCAACAACAGCTTCCTTGATTTCCTTTTTCTTGGCCACGATGGAAGCTATGGTTGTATGGGGTTTGTTATACATCCTGGCCAGTTCGGCCACATGTACGCCACTTTCATATTGTTCAATGATGTTTTTCTAGGAGTGAATGGAGACGAATGGTTTTTAATACTTGACGTGCTGTTGGAGTGTGAGCAAAGTAACATTTATGAAGGGGTTCAGGGAAACCGGCAGGCCGGACTTGAGTCCTGGAGATGGGAAGTACAGTGCCTGCACTCTGAAGGAGGGGTGTTAATGTTGCAGTTTAAAAACTGTAGTGTAAAGCACCCTTCTGGCAAGACAGTGATGGAGTGAATGATGGTGAAAGTTTTTCTTTTTCGGGCCACCCTGCCTTGGTGGGAATCGGCCAGTGTGATAATAAAAAATAAAAAAAAAAATAAATGTTTTTCTTAAATTCAGTCATATTTCTCACCTTCTTTACCAAAGGCTTGGCACTAGGAGCTTTCTTTGGAGCCATGGTAGCTTATTTAGTAGTTTTTTTTATTTTTTTTTATTAGTACACTGGCCGATTCCCACCAAGGCAGGGTGGCCCAAAAAAGAAAAACTTTCACCATCATTCACTCCATCACTGTCTTGCCAGAAGGGTGCTTTACACTACAGTTTTTAAACTGCAACATTAACACCCCTCCTTCAGAGTGCAGGCACTGTACTTCCCATCTCCAGGACTCAAGTCCGGCCTGCCGGTTTCCCTGAACCCCTTCATAAATGTTACTTTGCTCACACTCCAACAGCACGTCAAGTATTAAAAACCATTCGTCTCCATTCACTCCTAGAAAAACATCATTGAACAATATGAAAGTGGCGTACATGTGGCCGAACTGGCCAGGATGTATAACAAACCCCATACAACCATAGCTTCCATCGTGGCCAAGAAAAAGGAAATCAAGGAAGCTGTTGTTGCAAAGGGGGTAAATATGCTGACAAAAATGAGATCACCAGTACTCGGAGATGTTGAGAAGTTATTATTGGTGTGGATAAACGAGAAACAATTAGCAGGAGATAGTCTTATGACGTTGATTATTTGTGAAAAGGCTAGGCAGTTGCACGACGATCTGGTAAGGAAATTGCCTGCAACAAGTACTGATATTTGTGAATTTAAGGCCAGCAAAGGTTGGTTTGAGAGATTTGAGAAACGTAGTGGCATACACAGTGGGATAAGGCATGGTGAGGCTGCCAGTTCAGACAAAATTGCAGCTACAAAATTCGTAAGTGAATTCAAGGAGTACATAGAGGCTGAAGGACTGAAACCTGAGCAAGTGTTCAATTGTGACGAAACAGGCCTCTTTTGGAAGAAAATGCCAAAGAGGACCTACATTACTCAGGAGGAAAAGGGACTACCAGGACACGAGCCTATGAAAGACAGGCTGATGCTCATGTTCTGTGCTAATGCTAGTGGGGATTTCTGAGTGAAGCCGTTACTAGTGCACCATTCTGAAAATCCCAGAGTGTTCAGGAAAAACAATGTTATGAAGAGTAAATTGTGTGTGTTTTGGAAATCTAATAGTAAGGCATGGGTCACAAGGGAAATTTTCGTCGAGTGGTTCAATGAAGTGTTTGGCCTTAGTGTGAAGAATTACCTTCTGGAATTTTTAAACTGCAACATTAACACCCCTCCTTCAGTTGCAAGCACTAAAATGAATGGAATATTATGAAATATTTTGTATGAGCAAGTGAGGGGACCGTCGCTCACTGGTAAACAATGGCACACTGGCTGGGAACGGCTCAGAGCCGTGAGTATTCATCCCAGACGAATGACTATTCACGAGTCAAACTATGATTAGCGAGCCAATGTTTTGATGAAAATAGCGTTACGATTTTCTAAAATTACGACTATTGAGCCTTAGGATTATCGAGGGACCATTGTAACACAAAAAAGGCTTTCACGGAATGTGCGATATTGAATATAACGTAAAAGGCTTTCATACTGTGTACTATTCAATATTGAATATAACGTAAAAGGCTTTCATACTGTGTACTATTCAATATTGAATATAACGTAAAAGGCTTTCATACTGTGTACTATTCAATATTGAATATAACAAAAAAAAAGGCATTCATGGCATGTGCTATTGTTAAAAGGTCTTCATGGTATATGCAATTCATTTTCAATGCACTTTTTCAATTGCATTTGCAAAAGCTTACACTGTAGAGAACTTACTGTAGTCCTGCAGCTTAAGTCAAATCTATGCAAAAAACTGCTCAGATTGAAGACAAATTGTAATGATATATGGTTAGGTTAGGTTCCAGGCTACTGTTGTACAGGAAGGCACTGTTGATACAGTAGGTTAGGTTCCAGGCTACTGTTGTACAGGAAGGCACTGCCTATACCAGCAAGTTAGGTTCCAGGCTACTACTGTACAGGAGGGCACTGCTTATACAGTAGGTTAGGTTCCAGGCTACTGTTGTACAGGAGGGCACTGCCTATACCAGCAAGTTAGGTTCCAGGCTACTACTGTACAGGAGGGCACTGCTTATACAGTAGGTTAGGTTCCAGGCTACTGCTGTACAGGAGGGCACTGCTTATACAGTAGGTTAGGTTCCAGGCTACTGCTGTACAGGAGGGCACTGCTTATACAGTAGGTTAGGTTCCAGGCTACTGTTGTAAGGCAAAAATTGCTGTAAAGTGAAACATAGCTTTTTTTTTTTTTTTTTGCATGTTTACACTATCATATATTAAGTGAGCAATATAGCTAGGCCTACAAAATGCATATACAGTACACACATTACCTTAAAATATTTTCATCCTTAGCTTATAGTGAGTGGTGAATATACTTGCTGTAGGAAGTCTGAATAAATGAAGAATGGCAATAACTGAAAACCGCTGTATTAGCGAAATACCATAAAACGAAGTGCTGTAATGCAGGGCCTGCCTGTTCAGCATCCTCTTTTCAATGTTCCAGCCATTGTTCATTATGTTCCACCTGCTGGCTATTGCCACCAGGGAACAATGGCTCAGTTGAGAGCCAACAAAACTATGGAACACTGAAAGTAGTCGCTGCATGTGCAGGGCCTTCGTGTACAGTACGTTAAGTCCTCGACTTAGACATGTTGAGAATCTGTATTGTGTATAATATCATTATTATACACAGTACAGGTCCTAATGTGTTTGTAAGTTAAGGACTTCCTGTACTGACAAAAAACTGAGGAAGACAAGTCAACACTCGCATATCTTGACTCACAAAATCATAGAATCACAATTGCAAATGAACCACGGAACAAGTGGGGTTTGAACATATGGGGAGTGGGTCCTGAAACTCACAGGCCAGTGTGTTAACAGTTGGGCCTCTGGGTTTAAGTACTCTTCATGGATTTAAACCCCACTCATTCACTCATTTCATGGTTTGTTTACTTGGGTATGCCAAACAAATGTGAAAAAATAATGTTCATCCAAGTGCTTTTGTGATTTCGCACACTGTCAAGGACGTCCTTGATAACGTGTCAAGGACGTCCTTGATAATGTGAGAAATCACAAAAGCACTTGGATGTTCACTAATTTTTCACAGTGGCTGTTTTGCATATTGTGATATCATTTGTTTGCTGTGATCTTACTGCACTTGGTTATGGATAACTAAGTGTAATAAACAGCTGTCAGTGTTCTATAATAACCCACATGGAGACAGAAACTCGGAAGATTAATTGATCTATATACAGTGGACCCCCGGTTAACGATATTTTTTCATTCCATAAGTATGTTCAGGTGCCAGTACTGACCGAATTTATTCCCATAAGGAATATTGTGAAGTAGATTAGTCCATTTCAGACCCCCAAACATACAAGTATAAACGCACTTACATAAATACACTTACATAATTGGTCGCATTCGGAGGTAATCGTTATGCGGGGGTCCACTGTATTTCGATCCCCTTCTGGGATCCTCTTCAGCTGAAGAGGATCCCAGATAGGGATCAATATACAGTAGGACCCCCATATCCACAAAGGATGTGTTTCACAGATCTGCCATGGATAATAGTAAACCCTGTATACAAGTCCTATACATACCTAACCAAACCATACAAAGGGTGGGGCTTGAATCTGCAGTCAGAGTCTCGTAAAGCTCCAGATCGACGTGTCGTCCACTGGGCCAGCTGGATTACACGTCAGTTTGGAGTTTTACAGCTCTGACCCCGAGTTCAAGCCCCACCTGTGGTATGGTTTGTTTGCAATTGTGTTACTACGACTTTGTGAGTCTATACATACCTATTATAAAGTTTAATTGATAAAGTATGCACAATAAGTGGAGAATTATTACTTTTTTACTCATGGGAAGCACTTCACGACTTCTCTTAGGCTTTGAAGAACTGCCAGCTTCTCTACTCTTGCACACTAGGTCCATTATTATGCAAAATTAAGAGGTATTTTTGAGCCACAGTTAACTGTGGATAACTGAAACTGCAGATACACAATCATTGGATATAGGGATTCTACTGTATACAGATTGATTTATCTTACTTGGGTATGTTTATGGTTGAAACACTTCCCCTGCATGGTAGGCAAGATGCATCAGCAATACAAACATCCAAGTGTCCATCAGTAATTGGAAACAAATTCTTTACCGATACTCAATTTTACACCAATCGATTTTAGGCCAATGCTGATTCCTTCAAAATTAGCCGATACCCAGTGATACCATGGCCCGGCGGTGGATCAGGACCTGATCGACCAGGCTGTTAATGCTGGCTGCTCATAAACTGTGTGCACCACAGCCTGGCTGATCAGGTGCTGGGGAGGTTTTGAGTAATTTCTGCCTGGGGTAGGAGCCTCTTCTCTGGGAGGTGTGTCAAAAATTCCCCACAGGGTGCTAATCTTCCCCCATAGGGTGCCAACCTTCCCCCATAGGGTGCCAACCTTCCCCCACAGGGTGCCAATCTTTCACAAGGTGCCAGTCTTCCCCACAGGGTGCCAATCTTCCCCCACAGGGTGCCAGTCTTCCTCATAAGGTGCCAATCTTCCCCACAGGGTGCCAATATTCCCACACGGTTCCAATCTTCCCCCACAGGGTGCCAGTCTTCCCATAGAGTGCCAATCTTCCCCAGAGGGTGAAAATCTCCCCACAGGGTGCCAGTCTTCCCCCACAGGGTACTAATCTTCACCACAGGGCACCAATCTTCCCATAGGGTGCCAATCTTTCCATAGGGTACCAATCTTCCCCACAGGGTGCCAATCTTCCCCACAGGGTGCCAATCTTCCCTACAGGGTGCCTGTTTAAGAACCCAGCATCTTTTCTGGCATAAGTGGCGGATATCTCCCATTTGTCTAAATTTCCCAACACGGAACGAGCTCTCTCGATAGGTTACCAACGTGAAAAATTAATTTTCGAACATTTATTGTTTATTATGGAATAGTTTGTTTGTGTTAAAACAATTCTGGTGACCTGAAGCTCAATTGGTAGAGCACTCAGATCACACACTGAGGTCCACGGATTGATCCCTGGTACAGCTGGAAACATTAAGACGTGTTTCCTTAAGACACCTGCTGTCCATGTTCACCTATCAGTAAAAAAAGTACCTGGGTGTTAGTTGACTGGTGTGAGTCGCATCCTGGGACAAAATTGACCTAATTTGCGGGAAATGCTCTGCACTGAAGACACCGCCAGACTCCTGGAGTTTACCTGGAGAGAGTTCCGGAGGTCAACGCCCCCGCGGCCCAGTCTGTGACCAGGCCTCCTGGTGGATCACAGCCTGATCAACCAGGCTGTTACTGTTGGCTGCATGCAAACCAACATACGAGCCACAGCCCGGCTGGTCAGGAACCGATTTTAGGTGCTTGTCCAGTGCCAGTTTGAAGACTGCCAGGGGTCTGTTGGTAATGCCCCTTATGTATGCTGGGAGGCAGTTGAACAGTCTTGGGCCCCTGACACTTATTGTATGGTCTCTTAA